TACGCGAGGATTTTTAGCGTGACCACGGTGCACGCTGCATGCACGCCCGTGCAGTTTCATGTCCTAATGTGGGTACCGAGTGTGCCCTTTCCAGGCTCTGATGGCGCCCAGGCGAGTGCAATTGTGGAAGTGAGAATGTCCACCTATGGGAAAGAGTTCGAAAGGAGCGCCAAGGGAATGCCCCATGATGTTAGAGAGCGGCTGCTGCAGCCCATCGAAGGGCTCAAGTATGGCTTTCCAAAATGCACTGTAGACCGCGAAAGGAAAGCGAAGGAGGAGGGGAGGGTATTCACGTGGGGTGGTGCACGACGGGGCAAGACCTATGACGACATGCGAGAGGCGTGTACGTATTGCACACCAACGCCGAACACAACACCACAACCATTCTAAGCATCTCCTCTATACATTAGACCAGCCCCATATGTATACTCTCCCACGCAGTTGATAGGTTCCCCATGCATACATTCTTCCCTTATCTGAGTTGGTCCATATCCCACTTGTGCATATTGCTCAACCACAGCTCTCGGCGTACCTCAAGCAAGTGGGGCAAGCGCTGCCACCAGCCAGAGCGGAGAGGGCAATCCGACAACCAGCCAAGCACGGGAGGGGCTAGACGTGTCCCAAACGGAGGTGCAAGTGGAGATTGTGATCGAGGGAGGAGAGGTTGAGAAAGTGACCAGCCCAGCACGGGAGGGGCAAGACACGCGCGGTGTTGAGGAGCAGGTGGAGATCGTTATCGAAGGAGGAGAGGGCGAGACCAGAAGCCAAGCCGAGCCTGTGTCTGAACGCACCCCGGAGGCTGGGGGGGACACAACAGGGCAGCACAGGTATGCATGGTACAGCAATTTGTCATGGATATCCTCCAGACTTACGAGGGTGATATGGGTGATAGGAAAGGTCGTGAAAAAGGGGTTGGAAAAACACTATCGTGCCTCCACTACGTCCCACCTACAGGACGTGTGTTCCAGAGCCACATGAGGGAAGATGGACCGGCGAGGGAGGTTGGCCAGCGACCCCACCATGGACTGGGCTGAAAAACATGGTCGGCTTGCTAGACCCGATGCACATGGTGCATTTTTTACTAATGTGCACGATGCAATGCACAATAGTCAAGGGTTGCACGGGAAACATGCGGCTGAGTCATGGAAGATGCAGTGGGTGGGGTTCGGGATGTTGTGGGTTTGTGACAGTTGTGGGAAATCTCAACCGTTTTGGAGCATAAACCGGCAGCCGGCCACTGGCACGGGCTCCAAACCGGGTAGAAAACACCTTACCTTCATGCAACATTTCATGGCAGCGTACGCGCTAGCTGGTGGAGGTTACCAACTCATGACTGAGATCGCTAGAAATCTGGGAATGCTGATCCCTTGCAAGTCGACATTCTACAATTACATGAGTGGGGCAGGGGGGCTGTGGGAAACCATCATCAAGCATGCAAACACATGCATGCAGTGGGTGCGAGAGGGGATGGAAAGGAGTGCCGCGTTACGGCAAGAATTAGATGGACACTGGATATGTGTGGATGGGAGGTGGGGCCAGCCAAGGGAGGCGGAGTGGTGCAGTGTTACTTTCTTGGACCCTCTGACACGGAAAGTGCTGCACTGTGTTACTGTGTCCAAAACAGAGGAGGGCGTATCGGCAACAGCTCTAGAGGGAGTGGCCTTTCGGCGCGGCCTTGATGAACTAAAGCAGTGGGGATTCAAGGTGAAGGGGATTATTACCGATGAGGGGGGGACATTCAAAGCTGCAATTATCGGTACAGGGATTGATCACCAGATTGACGTGTGGCACAAAGGTAGGACATTGTCTAAAAAGCTAGTCAAAGACATGGTGGATTCATGCAAGGTGGATTTGCGCGTATCGGAAGCTGCAACCATTGAGGACTTGTGGGACGTCTCACCCACACACCTGCGGGCTTGGCTTCGAGACGAGTTGGGGGAGGGGCTGCCCGGAATAAAGAAGCGTGCAACAAAAAAGGAGCTCATCATGGCTGTTTGTAGGTTGCGTGAAATGGAGTTCCGAGATTATAGTGCATCGACCACACCCTATCTATACCCAGAGATGAGGAAGGTGATGCAGCTGAGAATGGGGGGAGGAAAAGAAGTTGTGGAGACTGTCGAGGGGGAGAGGGAGCATGAGAAGGGTGCTGAACCAATCAGAGGGGGTAAGGAAGTGCACGTGACGAGTGCTGATGCGGTCGTGGTGACTGTAACTGAGGGCCCATCGAGCATGGAGGCAGACCGGGTGCCGGCGGACGTGGCTGAAGGTGAGGCGGATCAACCGCCAACCGTGCCCGGATTTGTGATTATTGATATCCTAGATGGTGAGGTCGATCCGGCGCCGCCTAAAGAAAGTCAGCCCATTCATGTGGAGTATTCTGACGTCAAGGAGCTCTGGGGATATGACCCGCATCCTAAACACGGAGCTCTGGGGATGCTTGCATGATCATGATATTCCAGTTCAGCATCCAGAGTCTCTAATACATTTGTATTATCGTTTGCATTCATATACTTCAACCCATTCATTAGCTCAGCAGCTATCATAAGCGGTGCTGCATTCATGTTCCCGGCTGCAATCAAATTCCCGGCTGCATTCACATTCTCTGCTGCATTCATATTCATTCCAGCATCCATGTACCCTGCTGCATTCATATTCCTGGCTGCATTCATATTCCCGGCTGCATTCATATTCCCGGCAGCATTCATATTCCTGGCTGCATTCATAATCCATACTGGGAACATATTCCTGGCTGCGTTCATATTCCCTGCTGGATCCATATTCTCTGCTCTATTCATGTTCGTGACAACAATCACAGCCTCTGCTGCAATCATATTCTCCGCATGAAACTCAGGCTCTGCTGAATTCATATTCTCGCCCCTAATGATATTCATGTGCAGCATCCATAGTCTCTCCTACATTCTCTTTCTCTGCCCCGTCCCGGTACCCTGCTGCAATCACACTCTCTGCTGCAATCACATTCTCTGCTGCAATCACACCCTCTGTTGCAATCACACTCCCTGCTGCAATCATAATCTCACAAACCATCATTTTCCACTGTAGCATACATTGTCTCTCTCACATTCTTCTTCTCTGCCCCATCCCCGTACCGAGCAAGAACCACATTCTCGGATGCATTCATATTATCTTCACATCCCCAACCACCGTACGGTCTCTGGGAGATTCATACCCTCTGCCCATTCATGTGCGGAGGCACATTTTCTGCCCGTTGCATGCAGGTACGTGCGACATGAGCGCAGAGTCGAATGTGGGATGCTCTAGTAGCAGTAAGGTTGCGCCCGAGCCTCCATCGACTACTCGCCCACGCAAGAGAAGATGGGTCGAGAGGGGTTCTGGTCGGAAGAAGGCACCAGCCACTGACGACGAGGGAGGAGAGGACGTGGATCCGGATGTGCTGGTTCGTGAGGTGACTGTGGCCCAGAGATTTTGTATTCATTTCCACCATGTGATGGCCCGTTGTGCCGCTCGTGCACGGGACGGCAACCCCATGAGCGCAGAGGATGTCGCAGAGGAGATTGGACTAGCGGCTGATCATTGGGCAGGGGATCACTCACGTTGTCGTCGAGGCAACGAGGATCCAAGGTGTGTTACCGATGGGTGGGGGTCGGAGAGTGCGCTTTACGAGCGAGGGTCGCGTACGCATCAGAAGTTCAAGAAGTGGTTGGCTGAAAACTGTGGTCCGGAACAGATGCATCCATTTGTGCATGGTGCCAGCAATTGGATGAACGAATCATTTCACTCTTTGATCTGCAACTATGCACCGAAGAGGATTCGGTTTCATGGAAGTATGAGGGCACGTGTTGGGCTAACGGTTTTGCACTGGAACAATTCGCTTGAACGCAAGGTGGTGGCTACACGGATAAGGCTGAGGCGCGCAACTCGAGTCCGTCGCGGGAGCAAGGATCGTGTCCTGGGCCCAATGAAGTGGGGCTGGGTGGACGACATCATGAGGGACTGGAATTGTATGGCCGAGGATGGTGTAGAATACACCCCACCTGCCGTGCACCCAGTTGTTGCTCCAGAAACCCCACAGAAAGTCGGAGCGCATTCCGGGAACGACCCAAGGCCGTCTCAAATGGCCTGCGACGCAAGCGACAACCCCATAACATCCAAGCAGCAGAGGGCTGGCTCGCACGCATGTCGAACAGTTCTAGGTGGGTTCTGATCGGGATTTGTGCCACCGCCACTATTCGTGTCATAGTTTTCTTGGTGCAGGTGTGCATTCATGGTGCACAATTTTCTCCTCTTTTGCTCCCGGGATGGTCATCCTCTCCCTTGATTATATTGACCCTGATATCCCCAGCCCTAGGTGAACTAATGGCCATGGGTTAGTCTTCCACCCAGCATGGAGTTGGCTTTGCTGCACCACATGGCAGAACAAGCTACAGGTAATTGTGTCCAGCTCCTTGGCTCCAGCTCCTTGGCTGCCCTTCTCGTCCTCCAGCATGCTTTCGTATACTCTGTTGTTCCTTGTGCATTACAAAGGCAATTGCTCGTCCTGCCCAACCATATGTCAACCCCCTCCCCCACCCCAACCCACCCCATCATATTGCTGGGTTTTTGCACATGCTCGTCTGAATGGTGGCTTTGCACCCTTGTACGCGCATCCTGCGCTGCCTCGCCATGGTGCCTTAGCGCTCACGCCCTGTTATGTGCGATGACAAGCAAGCACTACTAGGGTGTTGTAAATATGTGAAACTTGTTCTGGATGGAACGTTGCACATTCTAGGAGTTGCTTGGATGGCACCCGAACCCGACATCCCCACGGAAACTGTATTGTGACGACGTGCTCTGTACCGAGTAACCCCCTAGTTCTGTCTTTTGTCGGGTTGTGATATAAGGACGCCCCCTGTGGCATTTTATTACCGCCACAGCAGCAGCAGCAGCAGCATGTGTAGTTATGGGACTTAGCATTTCCCATTTTTTTTCACAAGGCAGCAGTCATTCATATCGAGTCCGGATACTCAGATGCAAATCTCGACTCAAGAGAGGCTCATAGGGCCAGTTCAAGCAATGGGCCCTGCGCCACGACATGGCGAACAGTGAACACATCCCCGCCATGTGACGCCAAGCAGCTGTGGGGTGGGAGGTGGGAGGTGTTCATAGGATAGCCGGGAGGAGATGGACAGATGGGATATAAATTAGACGGGGGAAGGGCAGATGGGAGATGGGAGAATGGGAGAATGGGAGATGGGCAGATGGGATATGGGAGAATGGGAGATGGGCAGATGGGAGATGGGCAGATGGGAAGATGGGAGAATGGGAGATGGGAAGATGGGAGATGGGAAGATGGGAGATGGGCAGATGGGAGATGGGCAGATGGGAGCGTCTGTGTGCCCTGTAAGGACCACTGGCCTGTGTCCTCCTAGCACTAGCCCCCTGCCCAATGTACTTGCTAGAGAACGCAAAACCCTCTTAGCGGCCGACCAGTGCTGCGCTCAGTGTCGTCTTGTTGCCACAAAGCGAGCCAGGATGCTGAGAGGGTATGCGAGATGTGGACCAGTGCAAGTCATCAGGTATATGAGGCAACCCACCAGCTTTGCGTACGGACCACTAGGCTCTTATGAGTGCTCAGGGACTAGAGCTAAGAGCCTGTAATCTACTGGCAGAGGTGTGGGCTATGCAGAGGAGAACAGAAGATCGAACCTCTGAAGGACATGGCGCACCAAGTGTGAGTGTGTGAGAGTGATGGTGCGCGTTGCTCTGTCCCTAGAGATTTGCAGGCCAAGGTAGTGGCACACCCTCTCCTAGGTTAGTGCAGGTGTATCTCCTCAGCAGCTTGGCCTTCACAGAGGCCAGTGCGTCTCTCTCTGCATTTGCAAAGACCAGATTGTCTACGTAGACAAGGATGTAGAACGAAGTCTGGCCCGAACGAACGAAAAGAGAAGGGTCTGCAGAGGACGGGAAAAACCGCAGGTCAGCTAACGTAGCACACAGCATGTCGTGCCACTCGCGCAGGCCGTAAACCCTGCGCCGGAGGAGCCACTGGGTCCCCGGGGCGAAGGTGCCGGTGAAGCCTAGCGGGCGACGCATGTAGATCTGCTCGTGCAACCTGCCTTGAAGAAACGATGTCGAGGAGTCGAGAGAGTGCAGCTTGTAGTCACACTCTGCTGCTACGTGTAGCAGTGCCCGAAGAGTGGTCATCTTCGGGGTCGGGGCGAAGGTCTGAAAAAAGTCAACACCCTCGCGCTGACTAACGCCTCTAGCAACGTAGCGCGTCTTGAACACCGGCGGCTCTCTAGGAGGGCGCTTCACTTTGAAGAGCCACCGGTCATCGACTACGTTCACCCCAGGTGGGGCAACTGCGTCGGCGTAGGTGTCGATGGATCTCCAAGATGCCATCTCCATATCCATGGCAGCTATCCACTGGGAGGCCCAGATTCCCGAGGTCGCCTCAGCGTAGGTGCGAGGGGTCGGGGTGTCAAAGACGTCTGGGTCACCCTCACGGACTAGCAGCATGGAGCAGAGATGAGGTGCGGCCTTGGACAGGAAAGCAAGCTCGTACTACCGGTCCTCCAAGACGTCACTTCCACGGGCAGGAGCACCCCCGACGGACGGAGGACGTGTAGGGCCAGAGACCAGAGCGGTAGCGAAGTCAAGGCGGCGGGTAGAGGCAAAGTCAGCGACGGCAGCAACAAGAGCGCCAAGACTGGAGACAGGAACAGACGGGTCGGTAACAAGGGAGGCGAGGACCCGAGGAACAAGAGGACTAGCGGCATGGAGGAAGTCAAACAGGGGAGGCAGAGCAACAGCCAGCGACGAGGGAGGAGGCGACGGGAGGAGGGGGGGACGAGACGCCTGGGAATGGAGCAACATAGGGTGAGAGCGCTGAACAGGAGAGACAGGACGGGCACGGGAGGGACGGCGAGACCAGAAGTGGGACGGAGGCGTGGGGTCAGGAAACACTGGAGGAGACAAGGTAGGAGAACGCGGGGGAAAACGAGCCGGATACGAGTCCGGCGGAGGAAGCACGGGGCCGTTGACAGGCGGGGGAGGCGCAGGTAGGCGGTCAGGGGAGGGAAGACCGAGGAGGCGAAGGGCGGACATCGGTGGCGACTGCTGCTGCTGCTCCATACCGACACCAGAACCTTCAGCTGCACCACGGCTATCTCCGGGACGCACCACAACAGCACCCCCACAACGAGAACCCTCTCCAGCACCGGTGCCACCCCCAGGACCGCCGGGGAAAGCCACGACAGTACCCCCAGGACTAGCACCCCCAGAACCAGCGCCCCTAGGACAAGAACCCTCTCCAGCATCGGTGCCACCCCCAGGATTGCCGGAACAAGCCAGGACAGCACCCCCAGGACTAGCACCCACCTCAACGCCCGCATCCCCCGAGCTCGCGGACCCCTGCGGCGGCTGCTGCGGCGACAGCGGCGACGGCGGCTGCTGCTGCGGCAGTGACGGCGACGACTGATGTTGCGGGTGCAGCGGCGACGGCCGCTGCTGTGGCGGTGGCGGAGGAGGAGGAGGACACACCGGGACGGAGACAGACGGCGAAGCCGAAGCCGCGGGGCCCTCGGAGTCAGCCGACTCCTCCACCGGAACAATCGATGGGAGGGGAGTGACGTGAGACACACCAGACGGGGCAGGACAGGGAGGAAGAGGAGCAGGGGCTACCGGGGGAGTGGGGACCAGGAACAGGAGCGGGGCAACCAAGAGACCATGGTGGGGAAAGCGGGTGTAGAAGGAGACAGACTCGTCAAAAGTGACGTCACGAGAGTGAAAGAAACGGTGAGGCGGCGTGTGGTAGAAGTGCCAGTCAGACGCGTCAAGAGGGAAACCAAGAAAGACACAAGGGACGATGCGAGCAGTGAGCTTGTTCGTGCCAGAGGCACGAACGTGAGCAAGGCAGCCACAGATGTAGAACGCAGACGCGTCACTGGGGAACTCGCTCTTTTTTTTGTTTGTCAATGACAAAAATACAGAGTTATGGAAAACATATATACATCGATTTGTTTTCCAACGCTACATACACATTTATTTATGTAGAGAAAGAAAAATAGATTCAAAGTACGGTTTTTCATGAGAAACCAATATCTAAGCAAACCAAAATATATCACTATTGTTATGGACTGTAAAAATCAGCTACGATATAACATCCATGGTGTATATTAGTTTACACATGTGCGGTGGATTTGATGTTTCTTACGGATTGAAAAAATATCTATTTATTATTTTAGAGATTGGAAAAATTGGGTGAAAAAAAAAATGTCCGATTGATTGCAATAGGTTGCTCCGCAACCAAAAAAAAAAAAACAAGAGACGACTAAATCGTCTCAGGGTTGCAGAACTGTCATATAATGGAAATATCAAATATAATGTTGGTGTTGAAATAAGAATACCATTTCAAGTGTACCATTATTATAATTGAAGTTTGTGATTTGTGGTTTGTGTCTACAACAATTTTCAATCATCTTCATGGTATATTACATTTATCTCAACCGTCTTATTTGGGTACACGTAATATTTTTCTTTCTTTTGATGAGCTTGTGAAATTATGGTGTTGTTTTCCACGAACCTGAGGTCATGCTATATCTGTGCCAAATGACAAAACAATACTACCAATTATTAATCTGTATATTTCATTCAGGCTTATTTTATTTTGCTATTCATTTTGTTAAAGATTATTCCTAGTAACTTGAAGGGAAAAATATAGGTACTCAATAATATCAATCTCGGTGAAGTGTATGTTATTTAAGTAAGGTTGAAGAAACCAGTTTGACGAATTCTTACTTGAATGCATTTTGAGACAAATTTAGATTATATGAAGCGTTTCTCTTTCTAGTGTTTTGCGCCTGTTACACTTCGATGCTCTGAAACCTGCATGAAACGTCAACAATGGTGCTGTTCTGTGATGCGTTAGCTTTCTGTGGTTGAGGAGAACGAATGCTAGGGTTTGCAACTGCCCCTTCGTTCTTGCTCGCTTGTGCCTTGGTGCTTCTCTTCCCCAGCCATCGTTTCCAAGTTCTTTTTGCTCACCTAATCTGTTCGTCCCTAAGCCCACATTCGCGCTGGCGCTCAGCGTGCTGGCGCCATGCATGCTGATGCCTTGCGCGCTGGTTCCTAGCGCGCTGGTTCCTAGCGTGCTGGCGCCTAGCGCGCCGGCTCCTAACGCGCTGGCTTCTAGCATGCTGGCGCCTAGCGCGTTATCGCCTAGGGCGCTGGCGCCTAGCGCGCTGGTGCCTAGCGCGCTGACACCTAGCGTGCTGGCTGCTAGGCGCCGTGGCGCCTAGCGTGCTGGAGCCTAGTGCGTTGGTGCCTAGCGCGCTATCGCCTAGGGCGCTGGCTCCTAGCGCGCTTGCGCCTAGCGCGCTGGTGCCTAGCGCTCTAGAGCCTAGCGCGCTGGCGCCTAGAGCGCTGGGGCCTAGCATGCTGGTGCCTTGCGCGCTGGCTCCTAGGCGCCCTGGTGTCATGCGTACTGGAGCCTAGCGTGCTGGCGCCCTGCAGCCTGGCGCCTAGCGCGCTGGCCCCGTGCGTGCATGACGCAGTGATCGTTGGCGCCATGCGCGATGGCGCCTTCGTGGATGGCTTGGGGCGACGTAGACGTTGAATGTGCATGCAGAGCGGTGTCGATGAAGAGAGGGGATGCAGAATGAAGAGTACAAGTGTTACTGAAGGTGAGTGAGCATCCCAGTTTGCTTGCGTTTGTGGTCTCTTTGTTCTCCATACCATATATTTCTTTCATTATCTCACTCCATTTGACAACGTAACACTCTGTAACTGTAACCTTTCTTGCATTGCCCTCATTTCCACTTTCTACCACTCGTATTTTGTCACACCTCTCCCTCTCTTCCCCTCTTACTCCCACTCTTCCCTGCTGTTTCCTCCCTTTCTCCCTCCTTGCCTTCCTTCCCTCCCTCTGTTTCCTCGTTTTCTCCCTCCTGGCCCTCCTTCCCTCCTTCTGTTTCCTCCTTTTCTCCCTCTGTTTCCTCCTTTTCTCCCTCTGTTTCCTCCTTTTCTCCCTCTGTTTCCTCCTTTTCTCCCTCCTTGACCTCCTTCTTTCCTTCTGTTTCCTCCTTTTCTCCCTCCTTGCCTTCCTTCCCTCCCTCAGTT